GTCCCACGTGCTTGGTCCCACGTGCTTGGTCCCACGTGCTTGGTCCCACGTGCTTGGTCCCACGTGCTTGGTCCCACGTGCTTGGTCCCACGTGCTTGGTCCCACGTGCTTGGTCCCACGTGCTTGGTCCCACGTGCTTGGTCCCACGTGCTTGGTCCCACGTGCTTGGTCCCACGTGCTTGGTCCCACGTGCTTGGTCCCACGTGCTTGGTCCCACGTGCTTGGTCCCACGTGCTTGGTCCCACGTGCTTGGTCCCACGTGCTTGGTCCCACGTGCTTGGTCCCACGTGCTTGGTCCCACGTGCTTGGTCCCACGTGCTTGGTCCCACGTGCTTGGTCCCACGTGCTTGGTCCCACGTGCTTGGTCCCACGTGCTTGGTCCCACGTGCTTGGTCCCACGTGCTTGGTCCCACGTGCTTGGTCCCACGTGCTTGGTCCCACGTGCTTGGTCCCACGTGCTTGGTCCCACGTGCTTGGTCCCACGTGCTTGGTCCCACGTGCTTGGTCCCACGTGCTTGGTCCCACGTGCTTGGTCCCACGTGCTTGGTCCCACGTGCTTGGTCCCGACGTGCTTGGTCCCACGTGCTTGGTCCCCCACGTGCTTGGTCCCACGTGCTTGGTCCCACGTGCTTGGTCCCACGTGCTTGGTCCCACGTGCTTGGTCCCACGTGCTTGGTCCCACGTGCTTGGTCCCACGTGCTTGGTCCCACGTGCTTGGTCCCACGTGCTTGGTCCCACGTGCTTGGTCCCACGTGCTTGGTCCCACGTGCTTGGTCCCACGTGCTTGGTCCCACGTGCTTGGTCCCACGTGCTTGGTCCCACGTGCTTGGTCCCACGTGCTTGGTCCCACGTGCTTGGTCCCACGTGCTTGGTCCCCACGTGCTTGGTCCCACGTGCTTGGTCCCACGTGCTTGGTCCCACGTGCTTGGTCCCACGTGCTTGGTCCCACGTGCTTGGTCCCACGTGCTTGGTCCCACGTGCTTGGTCCCACGTGCTTGGTCCCACGTGCTTGGTCCCACGTGCTTGGTCCCACGTGCTTGGTCCCACGTGCTTGGTCCCACGTGCTTGGTCCCACGTGCTTGGTCCCACGTGCTTGGTCCCACGTGCTTGGTCCCACGTGCTTGGTCCCACGTGCTTGGTCCCACGTGCTTGGTCCCACGTGCTTGGTCCCACGTGCTTGGTCCCACGTGCTTGGTCCCACGTGCTTGGTCCCACGTGCTTGGTCCCACGTGCTTGGTCCCACGTGCTTGGTCCCACGTGCTTGGTCCCACGTGCTTGGTCCCACGTGCTTGGTCCCACGTGCTTGGTCCCACGTGCTTGGTCCCACGTGCTTGGTCCCACGTGCTTGGTCCCACGTGCTTGGTCCCACGTGCTTGGTCCCACGTGCTTGGTCCCACGTGCTTGGTCCCACGTGCTTGGTCCCACGTGCTTGGTCCCACGTGCTTGGTCCCACGTGCTTGGTCCCACGGTGCTTGGTCCCACGTGCTTGGTCCCACGTGCTTGGTCCCCGTGCCTTGGTCCCACGTGCTTGGTCCCACGTGCTTGGTCCCACGTGCTTGGTCCCACGTGCTTGGTCCCACGTGCTTGGTCCCACGTGCTTGGTCCCACGTGCTTGGTCCCACGTGCTTGTCCCACGTGCTTGGTCCCACGTGCTTGGTCCCACGTGCTTGGTCCCACGTGCTTGGTCCCACGTGCTTGGCTCACACGTGCTTGGTCCCACGTGCTTGGTCCCCACGTGCTTGGTCCCACGTGCTTGGTCCCACGTGCTTGGTCCCACGTTGCTTGGTCCCACGTGCTTGGTCCCACGTGCTTGGTCCCACGTGCTTGGTCCCACGTGCTTGGTCCCACGTGCTTGGTCCCACGTGCTTGGTCCCACGTGCTTGGTCCACGTGCTTGGTCCCCCCGTGCTTGGTCCACGTGCTTGGTCCCACGTGCTTGGTCCCACGTGCTTGTCCCCACGTGCTTGTCCCACGTGCTTGGTCCCACGTGCTTGGTCCCACGTGCTTGGTCCCACGTGCTTGGTCCCACGTGCTTGGTCCCACGTGCTTGGTCCCACGTGCTTGGTCCCACGTGCTTGGTCCCACGTGCTTGGTCCCACGTGCTTGGTCCCACGTGCTTGGTCCCACGTGCTTGGTCCCACGTGCTTGGTCCCACGTGCTTGGTCCCACGTGCTTGGTCCCACGTGCTTGGTCCCACGTGCTTGGTCCCACGTGCTTGGTCCCACGTGCTTGGTCCCACGTGCTTGGTCCCACGTGCTTGGTCCCACGTGCTTGGTCCCACGTGCTTGGTCCCACGTGCTTGGTCCCACGTGCTTGGTCCCACGTGCTTGGTCCCACGTGCTTGGTCCCACGTGCTTGGTCCCACGTGCTTGGTCCCACGTGCTTGGTCCCACGTGCTTGGTCCCACGTGCTTGGTCCCACGTGCTTGGTCCCACGTGCTTGGTCCCACGTGCTTGGTCCCACGTGCTTGGTCCCACGTGCTTGGTCCCACGTGCTTGGTCCCACGTGCTTGGTCCCACGTGCTTGGTCCCACGTGCTTGGTCCCACGTGCTTGGTCCCACGTGCTTGGTCCCACGTGCTTGTCCCACGTGGCTTGGGTCCCACGTGCTTGGTCCCACGTGCTTGGTCCCGACGTGCTTGGTCCCACGTGCTTGGTCCCACGTGCTTGGTCCCACGTGCTTGGTCCCAGTGCTTGGTCCACGTGCTTGGTCCCACGTGCTTGGTCCCACGTGCTTGGTCCCACGTGCTTGGTCCCACGTGCTTGGTCCGACGTGCTTGGTTCCACGTGCTTGGTCCCACGTGCTTGGTCCCACGTGCTTGTCCCACGTGCTTGGTCCCACGTGCTTGGTCCCACGTGCTTGGTCCCACGTGCTTGGTCCCGTGCTTGGTCACACGTGCTTGGTCCGACGTGCTTGGTCCGACGTGCTTGGTCCGACGTGCTTTGGTCCCACGTGCTTGGTCCCACGTGCTTGGTCCCACGTGCTTGGTCCCACGTGCTTGGTCCCACGTGCTTGGTCCCACGTGCTTGGTCCCACGTGCTTGGTCCCACGTGCTTGGTCCCACGTGCTTTGGTCCCAACGTGCTTGGTCCCACGTGCTTGGTCCCACGTGCTTGGTCCCACGTGCTTGGTCCCACGTGCTTGGTCCCACGTGCTTGTCCCACGTGCTTGGTCCCACGTGCTTGGTCCCACGTGCTTGGTCCCACGTGCTTGGTCCCACGTGCTTGGTCCCACGTGCTTGGTCCCACGTGCTTGGTCCCACCGTGCTTGGTCCCACGTGCTTGGTCCCACGTGCTTGGTCCCACGTGCTTGGTCCCACGTGCTTGGTCCCACGTGCTTGGTCCCACGTGCTTGGTCCCACGTGCTTGGTCCCACGTGCTTGGTCCCACGTGCTTGGTCCCACGTGCTTGGTCCCACGTGCTTGGTCCCACGTGCTTGGTCCCACGTGCTTGGTCCCACGTGCTTGGTCCACGTGCTTGGTCCCACGTGCTTGGTCCCACGTGCTTGGTCCCACGTGCTTGGTCCCACGTGCTTGGTCCCACGTGCTTGGTCCCACGTGCTTGGTCCCACGTGCTTGGTCCCACGTGCTTGGTCCCCACGTGCTTGGTCCCCACGTGCTTGGTCCCACGTGCTTGGTCCCACGTGCTTGGTTCCCACGTGCTTGGTCCCACGTGCTTGGTCCCACGTGCTTGGTCCCACGTGCTTGGTCCCACGTGCTTGGTCCCACGTGCTTGGTCCCACGTGCTTGGTCCCACGTGCTTGGTCCCACGTGCTTGGTCCCACGTGCTTGGTCCCACGTGCTTGGTCCCACGTGCTTGGTCCCACGTGCTTGGTCCCACGTGCTTGGTCCCACGTGCTTGGTCCCACGTGCTTGGTCCCACGTGCTTCGTCCCACGTGCTTCGTCCCACGTGCTTCGTCCCACGTGCTTGGTCCCACGTGCTTGGTCCCGCGTGCTTGGTCCCACGTGCTTGGCCCCACGTCCTTGGTCCCACGTGCTTGGTCCCACGTGCTTGGCCCAACGTCCTTGGTCCCACGTGCTTGGTCCCACGTGCTTGGTCCCACGTGCTTGGTCCCACGTGCTTGCTCCCACGTGCTTGGTCCCACGTGCTTGGTCCCACGTGCTTCGTCCCACATGCTTCGTCCCACGTGCTTGGTCCCACGTGCTTGGTCCCACGTGCTTGGTCCCACGTGCTTGGTCCCACGTGCTTCGTCCCACGTGCTTCGTCCCACGTGCTTGGTCCCACGTGCTTGGTCCCACGTGCTTGGTCCCACGTGCTTGGTCACGCGTGCTTGGTCACGCGTGCTTGGTCCCACGTGCTTGGTCCCACGTGCTTGGTCCCACGTGCTTGGTCCCGCGTGCTTGGTCCCACGTGCTTGGTCCCACGTGCTTGGTCACGCGTGCTTGGTCGCACTGGCTTGGTCCCACGTGCTTCGTCCCACATGCTTCGTCCCACGTGCTTGGTCCCACGTGCTTCGTCCCACGTGCTTGGTCCCACGTGCTTGGTCCCGCGTGCTTGGTCCCACGTGCTTGGCCCCACGTCCTTGGTCCCACGTGCTTGGTCCCACGTGCTTGGCCCAACGTCCTTGGTCCCACGTGCTTGGTCCCACGTGCTTGGTCCCACGTGCTTGGTCCCACGTGCTTGCTCCCACGTGCTTGGTCCCACGTGCTTGGTCCCACGTGCTTCGTCCCACATGCTTCGTCCCACGTGCTTGGTCCCACGTGCTTGGTCCCACGTGCTTGGTCCCACGTGCTTGGTCCCACGTGCTTGGTCCCACGTGCTTCGTCCCACGTGCTTGGTCCCGCGTGCTTGGTCCCACGTGCTTGGTCCCACGTGCTTGGTCACGCGTGCTTGGTCACGCGTGCTTGGTCCCACGTGCTTGGTCCCACGTGCTTGGTCCCACGTGCTTGGTCCCGCGTGCTTGGTCCCACGTGCTTGGTCCCACGTGCTTGGTCACGCGTGCTTGGTCGCACTGGCTTGGTCCCACGTGCGTTGTCCCACCCATGCGCCTTGACTCATTTGCATTTCGTCCGCCCACACTGCCCTCAACATCACCTTGCATTCACTCATCTCTCCACCTGTCCACCCACCCTTGCATTCACTCATCTCTCCACCTGTCCACCCACCCTTGCATTCACTCATCTCTCCACGTGTCCACCCACCCTGGCATATCACTGCGTCAGAACCGGGAGGACTTTGAGGCCGAACTGAAGCAGCGCTTTGGCGTGCTTGTGACCATGCCTGTAGTCAAGCCTGACTCGTGAGTGCCTGTGGTCAATTGGAAGCATGGATAACTACGTCATTGTGGGCTTGTGCCAGCCAGAGTGATTCGCTCTGGTTTTCTGCTCCACACCCTCCACCACCACTGCTTCCGCTGTTCTCATCCTCCTTTCACGCTCTCTGATTTCCGTCTCCTCTTTGCACTGCCTTTCCCCTCTCCTCTCCCTTACTGCACCAGCCCTCCACTACCAGAAGAGATAGCTGGCGTCATCAAGACGGGGCATAATCTGCGGGAAAAGATATCGAAAAGACACAAAGGGTGCGGGTGTTTGGCAGGGAGGGTGAAAGGCCGGTGTGGCATAAGGCAGGAGCCCGTTTTTCAGGAAGAACTTATGTTTTCTGTAATCTCGAATGTCATGTTTCGGACTCTCTCGCTCTTGATCTTGCTTTCACGCTACTGTTCATCCCATCCCCTCCACTTGTCGTTCCACACTTGTTTCGCCTCACAATCCTTACTCTCCTCTCCCGCATCCCCCTCACCCCCTCATCCCTCACATCTCTACCCCTCGCATCTTCATCCATCCCCCTGCGGCTGCTGCAGCAAGGAGCCTCTGAAAACGCCAATGGGAGAGGAGGTGTTGGAGTGGGAGCGGGAGTTGAGAGCTGTGCTGCACAAGCATGCCCCCTACCTCACTTCCATCCAACTGCCTCTGGAGCAAGTGGTCGCTACAGTCCAAAACCAGCTACACCAGATCGCTACAGGACAAATCCGCCTGCAGGTCGCCGCCAAGACGAGCTTCCGCAGCATCCAACTGGCAGCGGTGGTGATTGATCCAGCTGCTGAGGTGGTACCAGGCGGCGCTGACGTGGCAGTGAGCGGGCGGCAGCTGTTGCGGACGTTAGAGGAGCTGGCGAGATCCAATTCGCGAATGGCAGAGTTCTGGAAAACGGCAGAAGGTCCTTTGAGAAAGAAACTGGAAGTGGTTACCAGTGGTGCTGCTGTGGCTGCTGGTGCTGGTGCTGGTGCTGGTGCTGGTGCTGGTGCTGGTGCTGGTGCTGGTGCTGGTGCTGGTGCTGGTGCTGGTGGTGGCAGCAGCAGGGGGTTGGGGTGGCTGCATGTGACACTGGCCCACAAGAAGGAGCAGGGAGTGCCAGCAGTGGTGGGGTATGCTCCCATGGAGGGCCGTGCGGTCGCTGTGCTGGCAACGGCACTGCTGTTTGATGAAAACGTGGCTGCACTCGCTGTGGAGCTGAGGGGAGGGACGGGTGGGGAGGAAGGGGAGCCAGTTCGCTCGCTGAACGAGTTTGCACACATCACTGTAAGCAGCATGAGCATGTGGAGTGTATGAGCATGTGGAGTGTATGAGCATGTTGCGTGCATGCATGTGTTCTCTTCTTGTTCCTTATCCACCAATTCGTCTCTCCCAATATGGTCACTCTTCATTTTTGTTTCACACATTACTGTTTTTCATTTACAACCATGTGAGCAGCTGTGGCAAGCAGAGGGAGCTAAGGCCGTGCAATCGCTGACCCTGCCAAGTGCAGTGGAGCGTGGGGAGGCCGCGCATGTGCCCTTCCCTCAGCCAATAAAGCTGAATGGAACAGTCAAATTGATATGATTAGCAAATATAACCTGTAAAATTTTGCATGCTGTTGAATTGGTAAATCAGCATGTCATAGGTGCCAATAGGAGTGTAGAAAATTATGTAACATGAATCGATAGAGTTGCACCGCTAATCGATGAATAGCTGTCTTTCAAAAACCAAGCACGTCCGCAGTAATTTCCTTACGCAGCGTGTCTCGACAATTGCGTTTTCTGCTCTGCCATAACTCCTCCGAAAGGCCCGCTATCCTCGAGCATTATTCCGCCGCGCCTGCCCTCTATCGCCTAGAATTCCCTTTAAAGGCCTCCTCTGGTCGCGTCCCTTACGCTCTCCTGATCACTTCTTGCTGCTGCGCGCTTTCAGCCACGTTCGTCCATAGCTTCCCCGTGCATAGCCGCCTGCTCTTGGCCTTTGCCTGCTCTGAGCCTTTGCCTGCTCTGAGCTTCCGCTTGCTTTGCGCGTCTCCGCGTTCCGTGCGCCCGCGGGCATGCAGGGGCATGAGGGCGGGGATGGCCCTTCCGGCGGAGGCGGGGGAGCGGGGCGGGCGAAGGGGAAAGCGGCGGCGGAGGAGTTGTGCGGGTCGAAGAAGAAGGCAGGAATCTTCCTGAGAGAACGTGAGTAGGACGGAGGAGATGGGAGAGGGAACTGTTGGGAGAAAGCGGAAGTGAGATTGAGCTTGCACGTTTAATGCGTCTTTCCATGCGCCGTCACTGTTCACCCCACATGCAGTTTCACTGAGCGTACCAACTCCTTCATGCTTCTCTCACATGCTCGCACGTGCTCCCGTCCCATGTGTTTCCACGAGCTCTCACGACCTCTGTGTTGCATCTGCGGTGCGTGCAGTGCGGCTCATGATGTACGGATTTGGGGATGATCCCGAGGTGAGCCCTTTCTCCTCCTTTCAGCGAGCATTGCTCGTGCATGCTTGTGGTATTCGTTTGGATCGTCGCTGGTAGAGGGAGATGGTGATCGAGTACATCACAGGCCGCGTGCATCGCCCTCACCTTAGTGTTTCCCCATCTCTCATAACGCCTCGCCCCATGTGCCACCAGCCTCTCCCAGAGACGGTGGAGCTGGTGGAGGAGATGGTCATCGAGTGCATCACAGACCTCGTGCACCACACCCACCACCACAGAACCCCCATCTCTCGCTTTCTCTCTCTCACTGTCCCACTGTGTGTGCCGCCATCAGCCCCTGCCAGAGACAGTGGAGCTGGTGGAGGAGATGGTGATCGAGTACATCACAGACTTGGTGCATCGAGCGCAGGAGGTGGCGGCCAGGCGGGGCCGTCTCACCACTGAGGATGTGCTCTTCCTCATCCGCAAGGCCCGTTTCCTCACTCACTTTTCACTCGCCCACTCACTCACTCACTCACTCACTCTCTCCCTTTTCCAACTCATTTTCTCTCATCGGCTCTCCCATCCTCCCCTACTCATCGTCTCTAGCTCATCCGCTCTGTCAATCTCACGCATGCTCTCTTGCACGTCCCCCCTCACTTTCTCCCCCTCTCATTGTCTCTGCTGCTCCCGCTCCCCACCATGAGTCAACGTGGTTACTGTGCTGTGTGCTGTGTGCATGCAGGACCCACGCAAGTTTGCAAGAGCAAGGGAGTTACTGGCGATGAACGTGGAGCTGAAAGAAGCGAGAAAGGCATTTCAAGAGGAGCAGTAGCCCCCTGTGTCCACTCCACACGCACTCACGCAGCCTCCTCTAGCCCGTTGTATCAGCAAGCAGAGGACTCTTGCTGCAAATTAACGCATCTTGGCTTAATACCGGTAGGTCAATGTAAGGCAATAAGGCTGCTTGCTCTGTAGGTTGGTGCTTCCTAGTGAGCGATGCAAATTTTCTACTATTCAGTAAAGGTGCATGCCTAGCCCCCATGCAGTGTGGAAATGAAGGTGACTCTATCGCCATCCTCCACCGTAGACTCTAGGTTGCCTGTGAGCTCCCAATCCACGTCGTTTATCAACACTAGCACTCCTGGCCGCCTGCACAGCCCAGGGCAACCAGAGGAGGATGGTGGGGAAGATGCGTAGAGAGAGGGATGAGACAGGGTTGAGATTCTAGATTGCCTGTGAGCTCCCAATTCACGTCGTTGACCAGCACTAGCACGCCTGGCCGCCTGCACAGCAGAGATGGAGGGAGAGAGGCAGAGGGAGAGGGACGAGATGGGTATGTAAAAGGGAGAGGATTCAAAGAGGCATGATGCATCATAGACTCTACATTGCCTGTGAGCTCCCAGTCCACGTCAATGATCAGCACTAGCACACCCGGTCGCCTGCACAGCACGTGGTAACCAGATGAGGATGGTCAGGTAGAGCGTCAAATGAAGAGAGAGTGTGCTGTGAGAAATGTGACTCACACGGTGGGTCCCTTGAGAAACATCTCCGGCCGCTCCTTGAGCATGTTCTCTCGCATCCACACCAGCAGTGGCGCCATGGATAGCTGGCACGGAGGGCGGGACGGATGGAGAGAGTAAGGCGGGGAGAGGAGGTGTAAGGCATTCTTTGAGTGAATGCAAATGAACGAGCGTTTGGAGAATCAAATGGGTGCAGACATGTGTGAAGAGGTGGTGGGACAGAAATGGCATGCAATCACATGTGACTGTGGATGAGTGTGCACGCAAGCAAGCTACTGGCGGTCACTGGTGACCACATGTTTGAGCATGCATGCAAGCAAGCGACACGTCACCAGTGCATGGTACAGCACCTGCTCATCCGCCCCCGCTACAGTCACATCCACGCTCTGCTCCTTCTCTCCGCCGAACAGCAGCTCCAAGCCTCCGCTGCGGGAAGGGGGAACGCGGGGAGAAGGGGGAACGCGGGGGGAATGGGGAACGCGGGGGGAATGGGGAACGCGGGGGGAATGGGGAACGCGGGGAAGGGGGAACGCGGGGAGGAAGGGGAACGCGGAAAGGTGTTTGGGCAAGTCAGCGGAGCGGAAGATGAGATCGAGGAAGCGCGGCGAAGCAACGACAGAACGACGTGTACGCTTTACCAGGTGAGCGGGAGACCCGAAAGGGACAAGCGGCGACGCACCTGAACTCGATCTGCAGCCGCACCATGCGGGCCGCCCTCGCCGCACCGCCACTAAATTAATGCGTCCCCCGCGCCGCGTCCACAGCGACTCAGTGGCGCTGAGAAATCTACGCCGAGACTACAGCGCGCGTGCGAGTCTGTTCAGTCCGCTTGAGTGCACGAGTCGCGTTCCGAGGCGCACTGATCGTTAAAGGACGGCGCGACTTTCTATCAGGTTTTGAATCAACGGTCAGTATTGGTTAAATTTCCCCGTATCCAGTCCTCGCGAGCGGCAACAACGCGTAGTGCCACGTCAGGCGCGACGGAAATCAAAAGCCTGGAGATTGTCGAGTGGGGAGGAGGGAATCTATGGCGGCTTGGTGGATTGGATTGAAAGGGCAGCGGGTGGGGGCTTGAGAGTTCGGAACAGCTTTTTGGTAGAACCAAGACAGTTTCGCTGTAGGAAGCAAACAAATTCATCACGAAGAAGTTTATATCGAAACAAGAAGCACACTGAATTTGCCCTGTCCGAATCTCACACTATACCAAATCCCTCCTGTCAATTCGCCCTCTCCAGTCTCAGCATCTAAATACGCGTCTCGTCGCTCCCGTCTCGTCATTTTCGAAAGTGAGATTGGCTACACTTCGCACTCGCAGGCACTCGCAGGCACGTGCCTGCTTGCGGAGCGCGAAAATGATTCGTTTCGAAACGTGTCCGACACGCTTATAGGGTGTCCGCAACGGCCGCGCTCGTCCCGCGTGTGAAGCCGCGTCGCGCAGGCAGTTCGATCGAGTATCCGCCACATCACAACAGACCCACCCATCGATTCTCTCGTGCGATCACGCTCCACTGTCGCCCGCGAACCGTCGCCTGAATCTGTCGCCTGTTGAACCGTCGCCGTCGCACGCCATGTCGCACGGTCTGTGCGCCTGCCTCCTCCCTCTGCCCGTACGCCCGCACTCTCAAGCCATTCCCCCAGCGCCGAATCTCTGGGATTTGCGCCCGCTGACCCCGCCAACTGCGTTGCGCAGGCGGGATCTGGGGGTTCTCTGCGGAGATTCCGCTGGTCTGCCGTTTTCGGGGGAAGATTCCGGCGGAGCGGGGCTTTTGGCAGCCCGCGGGGCGTTCTTGCGCGGAGGCGGTGCGTGGAGAGGGCCCGCCCCCGCGCGGTCGCTGGGCGCGCGGGGGAGCGGGGGGATGCACGGGGGGATGCGCAGGAGGAAACGACGAGTGTGGAACCGGCGCGGGGAGGAGGAGGAGGCGGAGAGCGGGAGTGGCGGAGGGGAAGGCGCTAGGGATGCAGATGAGTTGGGCGGGGTGTACTTGCGGAGAGGCGCGCGAGGGGGGAAGGAAGGGGGAGTGAGAGAGACAGGGAGTGGAGGAAGAGAAAGAGATAGAGGAGCGGAAGGGGAGAGGGCCGGAGTGGGAGATGAGGGAGGAGGGAGGGATGGAAAAGAGAGCGAGAAGGAGAGGAGGGATAGGAAAGAGGAAGGCACAAGTAAAATGAGGAATGGGGTTGTGGAGCTGAGGGGGGCTTGGAACGCGAAAGGGGAGAGACGGAATGGAATGGTGGGAGGGGGGAAGCAAAGGGAGAGAGTGGGAGAAAAAGAGGAGGAGGGATTGAGAGTAGGAAATGGGGAGGAAAGATTTGCTCGAGGGGTGAGAGGGGTGAGAGGGGTAAAAAGGACATCGGGAACAAGGGAGGAAGCAGAGGGAGTGAGAGGGGTGGCTGGGAGGAATGTGGAGGGTGGGGCAGGGGAGGCTGTGAGTGCAGTGGCAGGCACCGTTGTTGATGCTGTGAGGGGCGTTACTGGTTCAGTCAAGGATGTAACAGAAAAGGTGAAGGAAGTGACGGATTCGGTGACAGAATCCGTCAGGGATACAGTGTCGGACACAACTGAGACAGTGAAGGATGTGAAAAGCACAGTGATGGACGTAATGGATAGCGTGGAGGAGACTATAAAGGGTATGGTGCGGGACGTGAAAGAAACAGTGATAGAGACAGTAGAGGACACTGTTAAGGAGGTAGCAAACAGAGCGACAAAGGGAAAGGAGGAGGAAGGGGAAGTGGAGGAGGAGGAGGATATGAGCCCCATGCGGATCCTTCTAGGAGCGAGTGAGGAGAGAGGGAGAAAGGCACAATCCCAACTAGGAATAATCCAGCACCGTCCCTCCATAGTCTCTCTCCTCTACAACCTCTACTCCCACATGCTCAAACAGCCGCCTCTTGTCTTCTCTCTTGCTGTCTGCTCCGCCCCGCTCATCCTCTCCCTCCTCTTCACCCTCCTCTACCTCCCGGACCTAGACGGTTTGGTGGTGGAGGACACGCTCCTAGCCTACCTCCAAACCTCTGTCGCAGCTTCGGCAGCCAGCGCGCTGGAGGACGAGTCTTTCTTTGCAGGTCCGGCCATGGCTATGGCTCGGGGTATGGGATCCGCTGTGGAGTCAGCGGGAGCAGCAGCAGCGGCAGCAGCAGAAGCAGGTTCGTCTGCACTTACAACACTCGGAGCAGCAGCAGCAGAAGCAGCAGGGTCGTCCGGAGCAGCAGCAACAGCAGAGGGAGCAAGAGCAGCAGGAGCAGCAGCAGGAGGAGGGGGAGGAGGAGGAGCAGTTGTTACAGGGCTGGCAAGCACAGGAGCATTCAGAGCTCCAGCCACAGCAGCAGCAGCAGCCGCAGCAGCAAAGGAAGCAGCATCGGGCGGCCTATTCAACGTCGTTGACGGCTCTCAAACCCTTGGCGACGCCGTCCGTGCTCTCGAGCAATCCAACATCTTCCGCCTGGGACCTGCAGGGATCATCTCAGGGGGGTGCGCGTGGGGGATTTTCCAAGTGCTCATGTTCTCCCTCTCGCTCTCCACAGGGCTAGAACCGGCGCTAGCACCGGCGTCGCCATATGCGCTGGTGGTTGCGAATGTGAATGCTCTAGTGGCGCAGCTGCTGTTTGTGTTTCTTAGTGGAGCGGTTTTCGCGAGGCTCACCCAGCCAGTGGATCCGATTTTGTGCTCGAAAATCGCCTGCATCACCCCTCCGTTACAGCAGCCACAGCAGGGTGTAAACGTGCTTGGAGGTGCAGCTGGGGGATCGGGGGGGTCCCCGCCAGTTCGCTACCCTCCTGCTGCCCGTTCACTCTCCCGCAGCATCAGCAGCGCCAACTTCGGAGGCAGCGCAGCCTTCGCCGCCTCAAGTAGTTTCCCAGCCGCTGCTGGTACTGCAGTGGCAGGAGGAGGAGGAGCAGAAGGAGGCGGGTTTGGCACGGGTGGTGGTGGGATGGAGGGCGGGAGGGGGTGTGAGCGCATGCTGCTGGTGCGGTATGTGCTGGCGGGGGCACAGCCGTGTGAGCTGGTGGATGTGAAGGTGGAGCTCACTCTCAAGCACAACACCCTCTCCTGTACTGGAAGGTTCTTCCGGCAAGTCGACCACCTAAAGCTGGTACGGATGGTTGTTGGTGCATGATGGTTGAATGAAGGTGTGAGCTGGTGGATGTGAAGGTGGGGATCACTCAAATGTATGGCAGTGCTTGTTCCTTCAATTTGAGAGTCTTCAATCATGTTGCCGCTGCCAGCTGCTACCCCATCCACATGAAGGTGTGATGTGCGGGCATGGTGATGTGATGTTCACAGTGCTGCCGGTTGATCATTCTGTCACCTGCTACCCTTCCCTTTCCTTCCCTGCCGTTCCACCCACCACCAGGTGCGGTCAGAGGACTCATACCAGCGGTACGGCATGACAGTTCGGCACCTGATTGACGAGTCCAGTCCGTTGTATGGCCGGTCTCGGGATGACCTCTGCCTCGTCAACGCACAGCTCAGCCTCGCTGTCGTGAGTCAAGCACGGTCAACAGAGGTCAATGGAATATGTAGTGAGGTATTTTGTGCTCCTAAGGGCCTCCTCTTGTTGGAAGATCTTGTTTTGCTCCCTCTCCTTTGCTCAACAAGCCCCGTCGCATCCTTTTCTACCTAAATCCCTGTTAAACCCGAAACCCTGACCCATTCTTGCCTTGCCTTGCATGCACCCAATTGTCCCGTGTCTGTTGAACCCCCTTTGTTTCCATGAGTGCAGATTGGCATGGAGCGCGCGTCCATGCAGCCAGTGTTCCACGTGGAGGACTACTTTGTAGCAGACGAAGACGTCATATGGAATGCAGATTTTGAGGATATGGTGTACCGCGATGACAAGAATAGACTTCTAGTAGACCACAGGAAGATCAGCAACTGGGTAGGGATTGAACTGTGAATGAAGCAGCCTGTACAGGGAGCAGTTTGAAGGGCAAGCTGACATGATGGCACATTGCCATGCCTTGCAATCCCCATGAAGTCTTTGTGGGGTTGTTTTTACTGTTCAGTCAGGTACGGTAGATGCATGTCTGTCAGCACAGCACTCATGTCCAAACTCCTGCCACTTCGTTTCTATTAGCAATAAGCCACATAGGCTTAAAATGCCCAGTCTCAGTTCCTACCTCATGTGTCAAGGAGGCTATCCTCTTGTTCAGTCAGCTGCATGGCAAAGTGACCATGCTTTGAGTCTCCCATGCAGTACCTCTGGGATGCCCGGAGCTGTATGGGCGGAGGAGACCACACGAACGTTCATGACTTCGGGGGCAGGCTCCAACCACCAGTGCATACTCACATGAGGCCGCAACAAGCAGATCACAGACGCTCAAGGGAAAAGGTCACAGAAGCTTTACAATTGCACAGGGAAAACTGTGCAAATTAGTCACACTATCCATTGTGAAATATCACATAAATAACCCAACCTAAGATCCCATATTCCCAACCCTAGCTTAGGGCTGGAAGTTACTGTCCAAGAAGCCGTTCTCAACCAAAACCTGCTCCCTCTTAGCCTTGTCCAAATCCGAGTCAACCATCATCGCCACCAGCTTCTTGAAATCAACCTCGGGCTTCCACCCAAGCTTTTCCCGGGCCTTGGCCGAGGACCCGCGCAGGTTGTCCACCTCGGACGGGCGGAAGTAGCGGGGGTCGATCTCGACGTACTCCTTCCAGTCCAGGTCGACGTAGCCGAAGGCTGCGATCAGGAACTGCTCCACAGTGAAGGACTCCTCAGTGGCCAGCACGTAGTCATCAGGCTGCTCCTGCTGGAGCATCAGCCACATTCCCTGAAAAATTGACGGCGTAACACATCAACCAGGACACGCTTCATTAGGTATTGTTCGTTTAACTGATTGCGATCTCAGTTATTAAATGTTGTTTAAAAAATGATTGGCGGAAACGGTGTAATCAAGAAAAAAGCGGGAAAGGGGGAAGAGGAAGAAGCAGTTTGCCAAATGGTCACATCACAAAACAGGTTCTTTAATCCAAATGGGAAGGGAAAAGAGAGGGATTTAAAATGAACAATTGTCTTACCTTGACGTAGTCGCCGGCAAAACCCCAATCACGGGAAGCTTTCAGGTTGCCAAGGTACAGCTTCTTTTGAAGCCCAACCTTGATGCGACCGACAGCGCGGGTGATCTTCCTCGTCACGAAGTTCTCACCACGCCTCGGGCTCTCGTGGTTGAAGAGAATACCGTTGCAGGCGAACATGCCGTAAGCCTCGCGATAGTTCACTGTGTACCAGTGAGCAGCGACCTTGGACACGGCATAAGGAGAGCGGGGGTGGAAAAGCGTGTTCTCGTCTTGAGGAGGAGGGGTAGCGCCGAACATTTCTGAAGATCCAGCCTGGTAGTACTTCACGGAACGTCCGGAGTTCTCAATGTGGTTGCGAACAGCCTCGAGCAACCGAAGAGCTCCCGTACCGACAACATCGGCGGTGTACTCGGGGTTCTCGAAGGAGACACCGACGTGGGACTGAGCACCGAGGTTGAAGACCTCATCTGGCTTAATCTGGTCGATCCAGTGACGAAGAGCGGTAGCGTCGGACAAGTCACCGTAGTGAAGCTTCAGCTTGGCCGAAGACACGTGAGGATCGCGGTAAATGTGGTCGAGGCGCTGGGTGTTGAAGTTGGAAGAACGACGGATGATACCGTGGACTTCGTAGCCCTTGGAGAGCAGAAATTCTGTCAGGTAAGATCCATCTTGGCCTGTAATACCGGTGATGAAAGCCTTCTTGACAGGAGCTTCGGAAGCCATCGCTGAACACTCAGAAAGTATGGTCGATGCAGGAAGCAGGAAAATGCAATTGAGAAAATCACAGATAGTTGGAGTTCGCTAAAATGTGCCTTCAGAAACTGCTGATCTCTCAAAGTAAGGAATTGTTGGGAATTTGATGGATTACTCTCCGATAATTATGCAGCAAGAAGCGCAGGCTCGGCAACGTGGTTGGTGGGAATGCAGGTTCGGAATCTCTACCAAACTCCGAACTCGTGGCTTTAGCGGAGCCTCGTGTGGTTCGGATCTCCACCAAACAGGCAAGCGATGTCTCCCCGTTTCGTCGGAGGTGCTGTCACAGTAAGGACGAGGTGGCGTTGCTGATTGGACATCTGCCACTGGTCAGGTGCTCTCCAGTGCCAGGTGGTTTGTCGATGGTTATAAAATGTCGCAGGTGATGTGGATTTCGGAAAATCCTCGCCAAAACTGGTCTGGTAACGGTGCGGTCTGGCGACAGTACGACGAATAACGCGGACGGAATAAAATCACACACTGAAACAAAAGTAGCATTTTGCTCTTATAAACATCCATTTTCTCCCATTACCAGCTAAACTTTATCACTTATAAACTACAAAAAAAATACATCATAACTGTAAATATTCCATATAATTAGGATTCTTTATGTGTTTAATACATCTTCTGGAAAGTTGAATGCTGCAAGCACTATTTAAAGCCCGCGTCCCAAATTGCGGACCGCGAGGGTCAAGTTTTTAAAACTTGACGAAGTTGAGTGTCCAAGCTTTTGAAAGTCACGCACCTGCAATTTGGGACTTACGAAGACAGATTCACTCACCAGGGGGAAAACCGAGGGTTGGCTGGGTCTCGCGAAAAAAACGAACCTAGACGAAATTGCGAACTCTCGCCAAAGCCTACACCAGAAAAACTCCCTCTGGTCAACTTTTAAAAGCATGAACAATTTGGGCCGCCGGCTTTAATAAATGCATCTCACATATCAGAAATTCCTTACAACGAGCTTACGTTTTTCTCCAATCACGTGATCCACATTCTACGGAACCATGAGGGCCTTTGTTGCACAAAGGCTGCTGTGCTTCCGCCAAGTGTAGTTTCGACTAGACACGTCGACGAATCCACGCTCACGTTGACATCACTGTCTGGGTTCTCGCTTCTCACTTGCCCTTGAATCTCCAACCAGAGCGTCGAGCTTCGGCGCCGCAATTCTCTCATTGGTTGAAGGTGAAAATACACGTGGCCTTGCAGCTGGCTCCGCGCGCTGAACCTCAGTCGGGGAGAATATGTGCGCCACAGAGGCGCCGCAAACTGGCCCCGATTGCTCTCAGCCACACTTCAAGGGCTTTGCGGCACCGATTGCATCTGATCGGCGGGAATTGAAAGGCAAACACTCTCTGAAAATCCGCGCGCGCATGTATTCCGCCTGACATTTGCATCAAACCACTACTCTTCCACCCCTGACCGCACCACACGGAAAACTACATCACACTTTCGCTTATTTACGAAACCATACTGAAAACCACACCACCCACCCGTCCTCCCTCTTCCCACGCACATCCATCAACTCTCGTCCTCCACACAAAGTCTTCTCCCCTGCTGTCGCCACGACAGTTAGCCTTGAAAGTTCATTTCGAACTTCAACATTGGGATTTACATCTTTGCGAGACTGCGACCTGTTTACTTGTCAGGCTGTTGGTTTGCTTTAGGGATTGGCTGCTCCTGATCCCGCTCACGTCACAGGGATCGTTAACAGCTAAGCCATAAGCAACCTTAACTCGGGCTTTTTTGCCAGATCAGGTCGTTAGAACCGAAATGGCGGCCCTAAACGCGTCGCCTGTCGTCGCTCAAGCCTCGAATGCGCTTGACGCGTCAACCCTCACCAACGCGAAAGCATCCAAGTCCCGCTCATGCGTCCTCCACAGCGGCTGCTTCGGCGAGCGCGTCGCTAAGGACGCGTCGCTGAGATCCATCAGCGGAAAAGCTACTCTGTCTGGCCTCGTGAAGGCGCACAAGGCTGGCCGAAGCGGCGTTGCGCGCGCGTCGCTAGATCCTCCCAAGGCTGTCAGCGCGGACGCGCCGCCGGCCTTCACGGCGTGGGGCGATGACGCGCTGAACCCCGCCGGGAAGCGCACGGATATCAAGAAGATCATGATCCTGGGTGCAGGACCTATTGTGATTGGTCAGGCCTGCGAGTTCGACTATTCTGGCACCCAGGTTCGTTCCGGGCGGATCAATGCAGGAGAGATTAACATGTTCGCATTACCGATCAGTGTAGCTAGTCTATGTTCCCTGAATGCCGACTTCGCGATCAACGAACAAATTAGGAAAGGTAGTGATTTTCCCGTGCGGTTTTTTGTCTTTCATATCATCAACACGTCTACCGTGCGTGTGTGCGTGCGTGCGTGGTCGCCGTGATTGCAGGCGTGCAAGGCGCTGAAGGAGGAGGGGTACGAGGTGGTGCTGATCAACTCCAACCCCGCCACGATCATGACGGACCCCGGCACCGCCGACCGCACCTACGTCGCCCCCATGACGCCCGAGCTCGTCGAACAGGTCCGTCCCCAGCCTCGACCGGCCCTCTTGCCGCTTCCGCTTCCTCCGGACATTGTTACCTCTCCTCGCCAGCAGCAGCCTGCGTTGCGTCCTCCTTCATCGCCCTTCTCCCTTATCCGTGTCTCCTCCTGCATTGCCATACATCGTCCCTGCTTTATAACTCACACCCGAAGCCTCCGCTGCTTCTTCCTTCCCTCCCTCCCCCCGTACTATTGATTCCCCAGTTGCATTGTGTCCAGCTCGCCTATCCGTGCATTTTCTTCCCCCGTTCTGATCTCAATGTTCCCCGATCCACCTTTCGGCTATACAATCCCGTCCCTCGTTGCCCCTTCACATTCCCCATCCCGCTCTCCCCCGCTCTCCCCCACTGTCCCCCGCTCTCCCCCGCTTACCATGTCAATTACAACTGCCGCTCTCCTACCAGGTGATCGCAAATGAGCGCCCCGACGCGCTGCTGCCCACGTTGGGCGGGCACGCGCATCAGCTGAACACACTCGTGCACGTTCCCCATCCCATTCTCCCATCCCAAGCTCTCCCGATCTCCCCATCTCCCGCCCACCCCCACCCCCGCCATCAGGTGATCGCGAACGAGCGCCCCGACGCGCTGCT